GGGGGGGGGGGGGCTGCTTTTATTTGAGACCTCTATGCAAAGTCTATTTCTTGGCCTTTCCTTTGCCGCCTTTGCCGCCGCCCTTTTGTCCGCCTTTTCCTCCTCCGCCGCCACCACCACTTCCACCAGACATCATGACTCTCACCTTCCCAGCGGGGACGCAGTTCACAATCTCCTCCACCTTCATGCCCTTGATCAGCTCTACCTCCCGAGGCCACATCCTTTCCGAATCAAGGGACGATTCGTCCACGGCGCCCTTTTTGCTAGAATCCGCTTTCCAGCGCTCCATGACTTCCTTTGTAGCTTTGCCCTTTTTCACGGCACCGGGCTGCAGCTTCGCCTTGTATTTAAACTTGCCGAGGGCGTTCCAAGGAGCACATACGGGGATGGCCTCGAGAATCTCATCGCCCGGTAGGGGAGTGCCGACTAGGGCATCGAGAGGAGTAGCCTTCTCGGCTTCATCTGCGTCGAGCACGTCGATGCCTTCGTCCATCATCACCCGCCTAACCTCTTCGTGCTCCGCAATTTCTTTCTGCTGTCGCTGGTGTTGGGCACGGCGTCGTTCTCTGGCAGCATCTAGCTCGGCTTGCCTGTCCGCCTTGGCCTTGGCCTCTGCCTCTTGTCGTTTCTGGCCGACAGTTGCGCCGATTAGTGCCTCGGCGGCGGCGCGGTCCTCCTCGTCTTGGTCCTTGTATTTGAGAGCAATCTTCTTTGCTTTGCCCCTTTGGCCGCGCTTAGGAGGTCCTTTCTTGGAATGGGAGGATGGTGTAGCGGCGGTTTGAGTCGTGGAGTCCGATGTCTTGGTAGGTGCCTCGGACGCTTCTGTCGCCAGTTCCGATTCGTCTCGACTCGTGCCTGTTTCTGCTGCCTCATCCTCGCCATCGCCTTCACCAGTTGGCTGCTCTGTGAGGTTCAAGGATGACACTGCACCTGTGGCTTCGTCTACTTCGTCGTCCTCTGCAGCATCAGGAGCCTGCAAGGGGTTTGCGCGGGCATCCTCCTGTTCTCGGCCGTCATCACTTTCATTGTCGGACTGAGTTACATCGTCTTCTGGTTCCTTTTCCTGAGAGTCTGCCACCGACGCAAGGCTCTGCATATCGTTGCGACTTGTCGCTACGTCTGAGCCCAGAGCCGAGTCAACATCATGTATTCTGTGTTTGACATGTCGCGCTTTGCTTTCTTCACTAATCTTGAACATGATCCCAAGACCGAGTAGAAGTTGTGCCGGGGCTAAAAAGTTCTTCTGTCCTCGCACCATAAAATTACCAGTTGGCAAAAAATCTCCTGCAGGTCCCGACTTCGAAACTTGGTCCGCCTTAACCCACCATGCCCCCATACCTGCTTTCTGGTCCCATGCTTCGGAAGCGCAAACCGACAGATTGCCTGCCTGGGCTAAAGTTGCCGGAGGTATAGGTGCATCCGGCGTGCTTGGGTTGTTCTTGATAATAACACTTGGTGCTCCTCTCAAGTCGGCATGACAATATACGTCACCCTTTCGCAGATATCTCTTGTACAATATTTCATTTTGCTGAGCATCTTTGCCACCAAGCACAAGGTAACCGTCGGAGGAGATGAACCAGAGGAACTTTTCGAACCACAATTGTTTCCTGATAGGCTGCAGGAGAGCCTTTTCTTGTTTCAGTCCCTTCTTCAAGTCTTCCACGATCTTTTGCTCTGCATTTTTGAGAGCCCGGGATGCCTGCTGTTGCGTCTTCTCTTCTTTTACAACTGCGGTCCGCCGTTGTTCATAATACTCTCGAGCGTTACTCCAGGGGCTCAGCTTGAGATTAATCTCAACGTTTAAACCCTTGGCTGGCTTCTCACTTTTCTTTGAGATGGTACTGGCCTCGTTTTCGTCTTCGGAATCGCTGTCATCTGTCTCAAAGGGATCCGCTTCCTCCGCCTCCTCCTCCTCTTCTTCAGCTAGGCTGAGTGTAATTAAATTTTCAGCAAGATTAAGGGGAAGGACAATAATGTCTGCCACGGGGTTTTTCCGCTTCTTTTCTCGCTCGACAAGTTTTCCAATGTCTACCCAGTCCATACCCTGCGCGAGAAGGCCATTGACCGCGTCCATAGCTTCTTGTACCCATTCCACATTTGCCTCAATTGCAGCCGCTTTGCGCATGTTCAATGTCTGAGCATCTTGCAGGCCCTCGATTCTCTTGGCTTGATCTGCCTTGGCTGCATCCAGCTTTCTTTTTGCCGCTGCTTCTCTCTCGTTTAGCCTAGTTTCTAACTTCTGACCCTCTAAAGACGAGAAGAACTCATCCACTGTTTGATTATAGCCTTTGAATTCTAGCGCTTTTATGCTTGGGTCTCTCTGAAGCTTGTGAGGAATGAATGGGTGGAAGTCCTCGTATAGTAGCTCGCCGCGGTTTGTCGCTGCCTCGCTGCCTTGGGCCTCTTTGATGGGGTTTCCATCCCGTCTTTTTGCAAAAATATACCCAGTGCATATTTCAGAGCTGGTTATGCCCTCAACTGAAGATTTGGCCTCTGATAGGAGCTTGACAAGCTCATCCAACAATACTTCGTTTTCCAGGATCTCGGCCGGGTTGACAGCCGTATCGAAGTTATTGGACTGCAGGATATGATCTACGAGAACCGGGGGGAGTTCGGTAATTGATACGGCCAAACATTTTCGCAAATCGCCGCCCGGCTTTCCTTTCGGCTTTTTGGACGCTGGAGTGGCGGCAGCTTTGTCAACTGCCGACTGCAAGGCCACTTGTACCCTCTCCCTGGTGAGGGGGGGAATGCCGTGGAAATTTTGTCGATTCTCGAGTGAATATTGCAGACCGACACGTTGGGGTTCCTGACCATCTCCTTCCGAGACATTTCGGGCAAGGCTCAAAATTTTCAAGTCGGCATCGGTCAGAATGATATTACCGCTCTGTGCATTTCGTTAATTTTTTTGCCACCCACTGACAAGGTTGAGTCTGTAGGGTGGTGCGTACCGCAAAAAATTCTAGGAAGAGTCTATACTGTCCGTCACTGAATTGCAATTGCAGAATTCTGTCAGTGCCAACTTGCGATACTGAAGTTAATCGCCTCGTTTTCAGGAGCTTCCTCAGTCGAGCCACGAAAGCCGACGGAGCAGCAGCTGTAGTTCGTGAAAATTTCGTCAAGTGGCAGCGAAATCCGGTATCAACAACCAATTGTTTCTTATTATCGGGTTTGGCGAACTTGAAGAGCAGGATTTTGGACGAAAGGTCGTACACGTTGGCTAGACGTAGCGTCACCAAGCTCTGATTGAGCTCGTGTGCGATTACCTAACGGAGCACGCCGCGATGTTAGAAGAAGCGGCTTCAAGAAGCGGGTCTGCAGCAACGCACCTTGACATCCAACGACGAGAATCTTTGCTTCATGTTGGGTTTCGGAGTGTACTGGCTGGGTTTGCGTAGTACCTAGACAATCGGGTTGAACCGAGCTAGGAGTCCTCTTGATGGTCCAACTCGTGTCTTCTTGAGGGAACATTCGTCCAACGTGGGGCAGGACACACATGGTTGATAGCGTCTGTCATCGCGGGGCAGCTCACGCCGAGCTGAGTCAAGAGCTCAAAAGAGTGACGACATGGTGTCACGTGCTGGGGCAGCTGACTGCAAGCATCAGACTTCATGCAGAACCTTCCTTTGACATTGTGCCTTTTTATTTTATTGAATAAGATTGGTCTTCCTTTATTTTAGCACATTATTAATATGTATTTCTAATTTGTTGATAGGCCTTGTGCAAGCCTGTGTTGTTTGAGCGAATTGCTTAGACCATGTTTACCTCGAATGCCGTTTGGTGCGCCTTTCTGTGAAAAAGGCACTATTTGCATATAAAAGCATTTACTTAGTGAATTACAATTAATTTAATTCTGGTTAGGGTCTCTATTATCACGGAGGATAGAGATGCGTTGTTGTATTGCGACGTACACGACCACGCCAGAATGGCATCACTTGTGTGGTTAGTGTACTGCTTTTAGGCCAACAAAATAATTGGGTACCATCATGTACAGAAATGACAATAGTAGTTTGGGGATCTGGAATGATGAACACTGGACTCCGAAGGAGAATGGGGAAGCATCATCGCAGTTCGTTTCCGGATCGGCTATCCCACCCACGCCGGGTTGCGTTTGTAATTGACCCGTGATCCACGCCATTAATATTGAATTAATATACTATGCGTGCACGACTACTGAACAGGTCAATGTCAGACGCTAGCAGTTGGTTGAGGGGCCAGGGAGGAATGGCCTGACACCAATTGTTTGCATGAGTTGTAGGTGAAATTGGGTGCTATCACGACGGTTTTATGAGGTTCGACCGTCGAGTCGGGAGCAAAAAGATCTAAGAATTTCGGTTCTTGGCCGAGTAACCCCCGATATCCAGCATGTGTTTGTGCGCCGTTTAGACTCCGTAACAGGCGCAGGCAAGCAAATTGGTGGAAAACATAATGAAGAGCGGCATATACCACTTATCATACGCTCGCTACTGACAACAGCGAACCAAAATGCAATAACGGCAGCGGTTCTTAGTCTTGCGGTATCGAGTTTATAAAAATCCATAAATAGTCTCTCAGATGGGAGGTAGATGATCTCCCGTCCCCTCAGGTCGGTCGGTGTCAGCAAGGCAAGATTAACAACTAAGGAGATGAGCTCACCGGGAGACTGGGACGGCATAGAGATGGGGCCCGCATCCCATTAATAAAACGAGCCATCGGCTATTATATTAAAAAAGGCAATTATCTAAGCTTAAAGGCATATGATTTTTGTGGTAAGGCTGGGAATGAAGTCGACGGTGCTACGCTCTGCCTTATTCGGAACTCGCAAGCGCCCCATTCTACGAGCTCTGATAAGGTAGGGCGAGGCATGGGGAGTGACTCGGGCTGGTTCGATATGAGCTACCATGGCTTGTCCGCTGCTATGATATAAACCCTTTCTGGGGTGTAATCGAACCCTTGTACGTTGAGTCACGCGTGACGTTCAAGTTCCTATATGAATTGACAAGGAAAAAGGGCCGAATAAGACATGTCGCGGGAAAATAAGAAGATATCAAGGAGAGTTCAACCGGATGTGATTATATATAAACCTCGCGCAGGCAATGCTGTCGTGGTATTCTACATGCTTTGGCAAAAAGTAAGCACTGACTCCCGCACTTGGACCTTCACCATCAAGCGCCACTGCGCCGCATATACGATAGTATTATTCCCTCCAACGTTCTTCCGCGATGAAGACGAGTCTCTGGGTTTTGACAACCACGCTGCTACTGCTGCTTGGGCTTTTCCAGAGCCACCCACCAGAACCAGGGCGCAGCATCGAGACGACACTCGACCGTCGCCAGATGGGCGACTTTGATACCGAATCTCCGACACATGTGTACCGCGGCGAGATCGGGAGGACCCCAGAGGACGTCGAAAAGGACGGCGGCTTTTACTCACGAGGCCTGCAAAAGAGTCACAATCACATGGAAGCAGTAGTCTCTCTGACGTGAAGATGCAGGAAGGCAGCAGCCTGTTCCGCCATGCGGCAGGGGATACAGCCGATTATACGCGCTTGTCTCGACAAGTACTGATCCTGGCGTGTCACTCACATTCGCCGTCGATGATGAGAAGCCAGAGGAAAAGGGTTTCGTTTACAAGATGCACGCAGATAAAAATTAGTCAACGTCAATAAGTCCCTTGGTAAATACTCACCTTATCCCGCGCAGAAAGAACACGCAGCTGTGGGTTTTATCCCATTTGAGCAGATTAAAGGCTGGTGGCAAGTCACATATCTAGGTGACTTTTCTGACCGCAAGATCGGCAAAATAACCCAAGAGAGGAGGCTATGAAACGAAAATTTAAGGCCTTCCAGAAGAATGTAAAATTTAACAAAAATACATTCCAAAATCAAAGAGGCGCCGGCGTGGCACCACAGCCGGCAGGATTCCCTCGACTCTCGACGGCGTGGCAAGAGGACCCGTGGAGGCATTTCAAGGCGCAGGACGTGCAAAAGAATCTCGACGACCTGATTGCTTCTGTATGTGCCGGCAAGCACAGCTGCATGACGCAGCTTGGCCATTCTTCCAAGCAGAAAAGTGCCAAGACGCCTTGGACCTCCAACGGCGCCGATAGACCGACCCGATGGGAAGCCGGCGAAGCCAAAGCCAAAAGCAGTCAAGAGCGGCTTCCGGGTGTACGGAAGAGCGGGGACGCTGGTGGGCTTCTGGCGCCGTACCTGCAAGACGTGCTCAGGCGGCTGCGAAGCTGGGACCATCCCACCGGACAGACGGTGAAGTTGTTTGACGACGGCATCAACGGCGCTCATCAACTTCTTCAAGCGCGTCTTTTGGGCGCTGCAGAGCGTGACGCCGGGGCAGGAGCGGCCCGCGGACCTGGGGCTCCTGTCGTACGGGGAGAAGAACAAGAGGCGGCTGGACAGTGTCAACGACGTCCTCGGCACCTGCGAGCGCGTCGAGCAGCAGCTGGGCGCCAAGGTGAAGCATACTTGTGCCCACCTCCGCAAGAGGGCAATGGAGATTGAGGCGCCGGCCGCAGCAAAGCTGGTGCCGGGCCAAGCTGCCTGTTTGGCTTGCGGCTTTGCGTGGGACGCCGAAGGCGGTAAATGCAGGAATAGATCCGGGGTGCTCATCCGGCCTCTGAGGCCTTGATTCTATCAGCGCGGCTACATGTACAAGTTGGGTAGCTCAGTATACTTACTGTATGAGAAATGAAGATTTGTACAGAGCACTTACATCTACATCGTACTGGGCGTGGCTACAAATATATGTACTTTGATCCAGCTCAATTGATTGCTTAGAGACACGAGTTGAGTATCGTAAGGGCTATTGATCACCATCACGCTTCTAGTACGGAGTACAAAGGCCTCCTTGGATCCACGATGCAATTTTGCCTGTTTACCAAAAACAACGGTTGGACGGCTTGGCTTGCCGAGGCAAACCCCGTCCGCACGACCCGCACTCATCTCAAGACGCGAGGCGGAAACGCGGTCCAGTACGGTCATGGCCGGGAGCTGCAGATTGCTTAACGCCACACGCAAATAGACAGACCACCAGCCAAGGAGCAAGGGTCCGAGTTCTCGTTGCCACAGCAACAGCGCATCAGATCCCTGGAGAGCTTAAATTCCGACATTTGACACACTCGACAAGCTCCATGGCTTTGTCAGATTGCCGCGTTCATCGCGTTGGATGCAGCGACGCATCGTGCAACAGATGCTCTAGCATGAGCTTCATCTGGTAATACAACCCTCGAATGCAGCCAGCTGCCTTTTGGGCAAACTTGCCAACGTGTTGTTAGGTGAAAAGCACGTATATCTGAACAGCCAGCCCAAGTGGATTCGGACGCCCATGTATGTGCCGTATGTCTGCAGGGCGACGCGCCAGGCAAACCTAATAACAGCTGTCGTCCAAACAGCCAGCCTCCTCTTGTCGCCCTGCCCGAGGGTGCTGCAGTGTCCGCAGTGTCCACCGTGTCCACTCGTGTTGTTGCATAAGTTGTTCTGCAGCCAGGTGGTGAATCAAGCGAATCAATCCAATGGCAGATTCACACGACGGCATCCGCGCCCCGTGTCAGGGGGTGGTCCCCTGAAGCATCAGAATCGAACTCAAGGCTGGAGACAGTAGGGAGGAGAATGAAGAATAAAGGAATGAAGACGTACTGGTACATGCTGGCTTCCCAGCTTCTGGTCGTCCATCTAGCAATGGCATTGTTCGTCATCCGTCGACGTCTTTCTGCATCAGCACCAGCTCCGCAACGCACAATGAACCCAACACGGCCCAATTCGAGGACCGTGTCTGAGACACCGTGCCGCGGAGAGAGTGGTGCCATGGGAGAACCAATGGCTGTGTGTGCCTGAAGCTCCTTGGCTCTGGTCGGAACAAGGCGCCCATCTTCCCACCCCTCGTGGCCTACCGCCTCCCGCATTCCATTGGCACGGAGCGATAAAACGTGTATGAAAACTGGGCTTGAAGGGACCAATTTCGCCTCCTGCAACCATTTGGTGCAATGCAGCTGACGAACAGGCCTTCTCTGTCGGAGACGGACAGACGTTGGGTTGCTGAGACGCACTCGACGCCCTCGAGCTGGCTCTCTCCTGATGCTCAGGTGGAGATGAGATGCAGAGCTATTCCTCTTTGGACCAGAGTAAACAAACCCCAGTCGGAATAAACACGACGATTAATAGACACACCCTGCTTGGCAACACAACGCTGCGCAATGGGCCAATGGCCCTACCTGATCCAATCCTGCTCTTCGTCCTCAAAAGCCATGGTGCGTCTGCCCGCAGTTCCGACCTGATCCTTCCCCTCCAATTATCTCCAACCACATCACACAACAGACAAGACTTCAATTCCCTCGCAAGAAAGAAGAAGACATCAAAAAGGCCTTACGCCCTTTTTCCTCCCCTTCTCCTCTCTTCGACTTTTGTTCAAGGAACAGAAGCCAGGGAATCCTTCTTGTCTTCCTTTCGTGCTATCAGCTACGGAGGGTTGTATGAGAAGCAGATTCTCTCGCGCCAGCAAAAGTCGCCAATCTGGACTTTGAAGCCCGCGTCCCCGTCCCTTTCAGCATCTTCCCCTCGACTTATCGGGACAGCGAGTCGCAAACCGCCGTCCAGACTCACGAAGAGGTTGATATCAAGCTCCATCAAAAGCAGGAGCCAGCCGGACGGCAAGATCAATACTCTTCTTACTCTGCCCACGTCGATATCCCCCCGCGTGGAGAGCACCGCGAGCACCGCGAGCACCGCTTCAGCGAAGAAGAGGTCCGTTTCAGTGAAGAGCGTCACCGCCGTTCCGGTTTCCAGCAGGAGCAATTCGTGAAGGAAGACTTCCGGTGAGCATTTCCCTCCCTTTTTCACAAAGTTTTGCGTCTGGTTTTCGACCTGCTTCACATGTTACAATATTCTCGACATCTGTTCCCCATCCACCTCCCTCTCTCCAGTCTGCGGCTCGCAGAACCACCCTTCTCTGATCCTGCGTGCCGCGAGCGCAACTCCCGTGGTCACAAATTCCCACCCTTTCCACCCAGAAGTGACAGAATAATGCGGTGTGACGAAAGAGGCCCCGTTCTAGGCCTCAAATTGGACACGCATGGCTTCTGCAGGGGGTCTTCATATACGCCCCATACCCCCCCAGGTCAGGGGCATTCGGTTACAACAAAAGCTTTGTTGACACAGAAACTGGCCACATCCAACCAAAACACAAATCTTTTCAGCTAACTCTGATCCTTCCAGACCAGGACGTACTGAGTATACCGACACTCGTATTGAGATCGACACTCACCAACGCCCTTACTCTTCCCCAATTGACGTCGCTGAGCGTGAATATCGTGAACGTTTCCGCCCCGTCTATCACACTACCGTAGACGCTCCTACTCGCCCTCAGTATCAGACCGAGGACGTCCGTGTCAATCAGTACACCGTTGAAGAACGACCTGTTCAGACTTCTGTTCATCAGCAAGTCAAGTTCTCCGAAGAGACCGTTGAGCCTGCTCGCTTTAGTCAAGCACAACAAAAGTCCAAGATGGGTTACTACGACGAGGACGGTATGTTGGCCGTCTGCCACCCTGTCCACAATTGTGGGATTTCCAAAGTGGTCGCTAATGATAATGCTTCAGGTCACTACCACTCCTTCCGCCAGGGCATCCACAAGCTTGCCGACAAGATTGTGCACCCTCACCACCATCATGACCACGTCGACGTGGACATCAAAGAGGACATCCGGGTGACCGAGACCCGTCCTCGCGTGGTCCCTTCTGGTGGCTCCTATGTGCCCAACACTGTCACCATTCCCTGCCATCACATCCGCCTCGGCGATTTCTTGATGCTCCAGGGCCGCCCTTGCCAGGTTATCCGCATTTCGACCTCGAATGCCACTGGCCAGTACCGATACCTGGGTGTTGACCTGTTCACCAAGCAGCTGCACGAGGAGTCCTCCTTTGTCTCCAACCCCGCTCCCAGCGTCATTGTTCAGACCATGCTCGGTCCCGTCTTCAAGCAGTACCGTGTCCTGGACATGCAGGGTGGCCACATTGTTGCCATGACCGAGACTGGCGATGTCAAGCAGAACCTGCCTGTCATTGACCAGTCCAACTTGTGGTCTCGCCTGTCGACTGCTTTCGAGTCAGGCCGTGGCAGCGTCCGTGTCCTTGTCCTCAACGACAACGGCCGTGAGCTCGCCGTCGACATGAAGGTCATTCACGGCTCTCGCCTGTAAATCATTTTTCGTGGGTGTCATTTTTAAAGAACCGTGCGCGCTCCTATGACGAGCCATGGCAATGCAGTCAAGCCAACATTGTACTGGCGCTTGTGAAATTTGAGGTCATTGGATTGTAGAAATTGCAGCATACCTGATATTTTTTGAACACTTTTGGACGGAACAAATTGTCAGGCATTGGAGTCGTTGAAAGAACTTGGATAGATAGGACGTTGCTGTATATGGACCAATGAAGTCAATTAATAACTATCTAATCGGTATATCCGGATGTGACTGGTTTCTTGTAGAAACAGGGAAATTTTTCAACGTATCATCATCCAATGTGTTGACATTGTAGAAAGGCCAATGCCGTAACGGACGAAGCTTTGGGAGGTGGAAGTGTGTATCTGTAGATGAGTAGTCGTTTTCAATCACGTATGATCTCGGCCACCTGAATTGCCTTCCATCTTACTCGGCCAACGTTCCGTCAGCACACCTACATGTGTGTGTGTTTTACTCTGCACGCTGACTCGAGTTTCTTGCCCCAAGAGAGGGACGAATCTATGACCGGTCCCTTGATATAGATCATTGATTGGTATGGGATGCTTACTTTTCCTTAGAGAGAGAGAGGGAGACACTGATCACGCTTATCAGGCGCAGGACGGGTCGTACGACGCGCCCCCCCCCC